CCCCCCCCCCCCCCCCCCCCCCGCCCCGTCCCCTCGCCCGTGTCTTCACCCAGTATGCCTGCTACGCCATCGGGAAGGACGTGCAGGCCATGAAGGCAGTGGTCGGGGAGGAGGCTCTCACTTCGGAGGATCTGCTCTATCTGGAATTCCTGCAGAAATTCGAGAAGAACTTCATCAACCAGGGTGAGGCGCTTTGGGGGCGTTAAGGCAGTAAGCCCCTTACCCCGCTATACACACACACACACACACACACACACACACACGCCTAACCCTCCCGCTCTGTCGCTAGGCCCCTACGAGAACCGCTCGGTGTTCGAGTCGCTGGACCTGGGCTGGAAGCTGTTGCGCATCTTCCCCAAAGAGATGCTGAAGCGCATCCCGCAGAGCGTGATTGATGAGTTCTACTCCCGCGAGGGGGCGCCACAGGACCTCATGTCGGACACCGCGCTCTAGCCCGCCTGCAGCCTGGCCCGCGAACGCGGTCCCGGGACTCTGCGCTCCGCGTCCAAGTCTACGCGCCCCTCCCCATCCGCCGTGGTCGCACTCACCCGAACCAACTGCTTCCGCGCCCACCTGCAGCCCCCCGACGGCTACGGGTTGGGGCTCCCACGCTCCATCCCCCGCCCTGGATTCCCGGCAGTGGGAAAGAACAAAAGGTGGTTCCGTCTGTATTCTATTTGGCTCTGACAGGAGCGTTTGAATTTTTATTTTAAAAGCCCCCAAAATAAGAAGTAACTGAGATGAAGTATTTGTCTTATGTGAAAACAAGATTAACAAAACACTGATAATTGTTAAAGCTGGGAGTGATGGATACATGAGGTTCATTAAACTATTCTCTCCACTTTAAAAAAACAGTCACATTAGTATCTTAACAACTGACAATAGAATTCCTCTTAGGGAGATATTTATCTTTGTTAAGAAATATTTTGATAGATTTCTTGGGTGGAACCTCAGCTCAGGGGCCATAAAAAGGACAATGAAGGCCACAAGAGAAGTGTCTGATTATAAACGGCTCTGCCTGAGAGATGCTGGGGAGGTATTTGGTTTGCTCCAGACAGGAAGGGAGGGCAGTTGCTGGGAAGATGGCCTGAGGGACACGGGTGGGGGGTGCAGAAGGCTGAGGAAAGGCCTCCCCAGTTAAGAAATGGGTGAAGAGCGTCCTAAAACCCAGGATACCTAATGTTCGTTGGAAAGCTGCCTGCTCTTCTGTAATGTCATCCCCTCCCTCTGCTCTGCCCCATCTCCAGTGCAGTCACCACTGCTTCTTAAGAGGCAGTGCAGGGCGGGAGGACAAGACTTCAGCAAAGGGCCGAGTTCCATTTCTGGGTCAATGCGTTGTGGAACCAGGCCAGAATTCTTGGATCAAGAGGTGATACCAAAGGAGGCCCACGAATAAAATTCCCATCCCCGAGCCAATTTGCAGTCATTTTAGGGAAAGCTTTTGGGTGTCCACAGGGCATAGAGTTGTTTTTATTTAATAACAGCTTTATTGAAATATAATTCACATACCATACAATTCACCTATTTATAATTGTAAAAGTCAACAGTTTTTAGCATATTCACAGAGTTGTGCAACCTTCACCAAAATCAATTTTAGGACATTTTCGTTACCTCAAAAAGAAACCTTGCACCCCTGGCCATCACCCCTTAAACCCCTCTTCTGCCTCTTCCCCAGCCCTAGGCAACCACTAATCTTCTTTCTCTCTCTATAGTTTTGCCTATTTGGACATTTCATATAAATGGAATCATATAATATGTGGTCTTTTGTGTCTGGCTTCTTTCATAGTGTTTTCAAGGTTCATCCATGTCATCGCATGTGTCAGTACTTCATTCTCTGTATTGCCAAATACTATTTCACAGTATGAATATACCACCTTTGGTTTATCCATTCTTCAGTTTGTGGACATGTGGTTGTTTCCACTTCTGGGCTATTATGAAGAATGCTGCTGTGAACATTCATGGTTTTCTGTGGACTAAGTTTTCATTTCTCTTGGGTATCCCAAGGAGTGAAAATCCTGGGGTCAGATGGTAGCTCTCTTTAACCTTTTGAGGAACTGCCAGACAACAAAGCCACTTCCCAAGTGGCTACACCATTTTATATTCCCATCTGCAGTGGATGAGGGTTCCAGTGTCTCCACATCCTCAACAACACTTATTATCAGACTTTTTGATAATAGCCATCCTGGTAGGTGTGAAATAATATCTCCTTGTGGTTTTGATTTGCATTTCCCTGATGACTAATGATGTTGAGCATCTTTTCATGTGCTTATTGGCCATCTGTACATCTCCTTTGGAGAAATGTCTATTCAGAAATGATTCTTCACCCATTTTTAAATTGGGTTATTTATCTTTTTATTGTTGAATTTTAAGAGTTTTCTATATTTTCTAGACACAAATCTTTAATCAATACATGCAAATATTTTCTTTCATTCTGTTGGTTGTCTTTTCACTTTTTTGATGGTGGTTTTGAAGCATGAAAGTTTTAAATTTTTATTATGGCTAGTTTATCTGGCTTTTTCCTTTGTTTCTTTTGGTGTCATGTCTAAGAACCCATTGCCTAATCTAAGGTCACAAAGATTTATGCTTATAAGTTTTTTCTAAGAGTTTTATGGTTTTAGCTTTTACATTTAGAGTTCATTTTTGTTATGGTATGAAGCGGGGTCCAAATTCATTCTTTTGCATGTGGACATTCAGTTGTCCCAGTACCATTTGTTGAAAAGACTGTTCTCTCCCACACTGAATTATCTTAGTACTGTTGTCAAAAATTCTAATGTGAGGGGCTTTTTTTCTGGATTCCAAATCTATCCCATGGATCTATATGTCTACCCTTATGCCAGTACCACACTTTCTTAATTATTCTAGCTTTGTAGTAACTTTTGAATTTGAGAAGTAGGAGTCCTCCCACATTTTCAAGGTTGTTTTAGTTATTCTAGATCCCTTGAATTTCTATATAAATTTTAGGATCAGTTTGTCAATTTCTGCAAAAACGACAGCTTGAATTATGATGAAGATTGCATTAAATCTGTAGATCAATTTGGGACTTATTAGTATCTTAACAATCTTAAGTCTTTTGATCCATGCACATGGAATATCTTTCTATTTATTTAGGTCCTTAATTTCTTTTCAAGTTTTTTACTTTTCAGAGAATAAGGTTTGCACTTCTTTTGTTAAGTTTATTTCTAGATATTTTATTCTTTTTGATACCATTATAAATGGAATTGTTTTCTTAATTTCATTTTCTGATTATTCTTTGCTAATCTATAGAAATACAATTGACTTTTGTATATTGATCTTGTGTTCTGCAGCCTTGCTGAACTCATTTATTAGTTCTAATAGGTTTTTAGTGGATTCCTTAAGATTTTCAATATACGTGAGCATGTCATCTGTAGAGATAGCTTGACTTCTTTCTGTCAAATCTGGATGCCTTTCATTTCATTTTCTTGCCTCATTTCCCTCGCTAGAGCCTTCAGTACAATGTTGAACAGAAGTGGCAAGAGTGAACATCCTTGTCTGTTCCTGATTTTAAAGGGAAATCACTCAGTCTTTCACCATTAAGTATGATGTTAGCTGTGGATTTTTCATAACTACCTCTTATCAAATTGAGGAAGTTCATTCTCTTCCAAATTTGTTTGCTTTCAAGTTTTGTTTGTTTATTTTTTTCCAAGTTTGACTGCTTATCATAAAGAGGTGCAGGATTTTGTCAAATGCTCTTTCTGTGTCTATTAAGATGATAATGGGTTTTTGTTCTTTAGTCTATTGATATGGTGTTTTATATTAATTGACTTTCAGATGTTAACTCAATCTTGCATTCCTAGGATAAATTCCACTTTGTCATAGTGTACAATCTTTTTATATTGTCAATCGATTATGAAGTAAACTCTGGTAAAACTTAAAACAAAAGGAAGTTTATTCGGGGTTTGTTAGGACTACAGCCTGGGAAGCACAGATTCAAGTAGCCCTTGAATTGTGTTCTGGCCATTGGAGGGGGAAGGAAGGTTTTATAGTCATGGCTAACAAAGGCAAAGAAAATAAAGGAGGAAGGTATGTCTTTTATCAGATTCCAGGCACAAGGTAATCATCAGAGTGAGAGTCAGTGGAAACAAGCCAGTAAACTTAGGAATGTGGGAGGTGACTCTGACAGGAACAGTCTCTGCCCCGATAATCTCATCTTCTTTGAGAAGACTTGCAGACTCATTTCAGGCAGTTAATGAGCTCAAAAGTTCATCCTGAAGGAGAAATTTGTTCCTCTCCTCTTCATGTCTGCTTGGCTCCATTTTGGTGCCTTAACATGAGAGACTCCATCTTTTTTCAATTCCACAATATGTTACTGGATTCTGTTTGGTAGTGTTTTGTCAAAGATTTTTGCCTCTAAATTCACAAGAGATATTGGTCCATAGGATTTTTTTCCCCTTGCAATGTCTCTGTCTGATTTGGGTATCAGGGTAATACTAGCCTCATAAAATAAGTTGGAATCGTTCATTCTTCTATTTTTTTGGGTGGGTGGTGGGAGTAGGGAGAGAAGAGTCTGTATATAATTGGTACTGATTCTTCTTTAAATATTTGATAGAATTCATCAAACATCTAGGCCTGGGCTTTTCTTTGTGAGTAGATTGGGATTTTTATTTCAGTTATTATTACTAATTGAATTTCTTTGTTATAGATCTATCCATATTTTCTATTTACTTCAGAGTCCATTTTAGTAATTTGTTTCCTTCTAAGAATTTGTCTATTTTACCTAAATTATGTAAATTTTTGGAAAAGAATTGATCATAGTATTCCCCTATAATCTTTTTATTTCTGTAAGGTCTGTAGTAATGTCCCCTCTTTAATTAATGTTTTAGTAATTTGAATCTTCTCTCTTTTTTCCTTGGTCAGTCTAGTTAAAGATTTGCCAATTTTGTTGACCTCTTCCAAGAACCAATTTTTACTTTTGTTAATTTTCTCTATTGTTTTTCTATTTTCTATCATTAATTTTCACTCTAATCTTTATTATTTCCTTCCTTCTACTTGCTTTGGGTTTAGTTTGCTCTTCTTTTTCCATTGTGAGGGTAGAATTTTAGGTTATTTATCTGAGACTTTTCTTCTTTTTCAACATGGCATTTATAGCTATAAATAGTCCTCTAGGTACTGCTTTAGCCACCCCCAATAAATTTTGGTATGTTGTGGCTTTGTTTTCATTCATCTCAAAGTATTTTCTAATTGCCCTTGTGATTTCTTCTTTGACTCATTTGTTATTTAGGAGTGTGTTGCTTAATTTCCATATATTTGTGAATTTCCCAAGTTTCTTTCTGTTATTGATTTCTAATTTCACTCCAATGTAATCAGAGAATATACTTTGTGTGATTTCTATTCTTTTAACTTTAGCGAGGCTTCTTTTATGGGCTTTGCTTTTTGTCTATATTGCAGAATGTTCCATGTACACTTGAGAAGAATGTGTATTTGCTGTTGTTGGGTGGAGAGTACTATAGATGTCTGTTAGGTGGAGTTGATTTACAGTGTTGTTCAAATCTTCTTTTTCCTTGATGTACTTCCGCCTAGTTGTTATATCCATTATTGAATGTGGGGTATTGAATTCTCCAATTATTATTGTTGTCTGCTTCTTCTTTCAATTCTGTCAGTTTTTGCTTCCTATATTTTGGGGCTCTGTTGTTAGTACATGTCTGTTTATAATTGCTATATTTTTCTGATGGATTGACCCTGTTGTTATTACAAAATGTCACACTTTACCTCTAGTTACAGTTTTTTGTGTTAAAGTCTATCTGTCTGATGGTATAAGCACTCCAGCCGTCTTACGTTTGCTATTTGCAAAATATAGCTTTTCCCATTCTTTAACTTTCAACCTATTTGTACCT